ATGTCAAACTAGTTATTTTATGAATGTTGCCGTCCGTGTATCGGTAGACGTAAGAATATGTCAGCAGGCAGAAACACCAATATGTCTCTCTATAATGCGCAAACCTGACTAGTTGTCATGTTAATACGGCATAATAAAACATTTTTTTAAATCTAATTTAATACACAAATTCACAGAAAAAATGTTTGCTTTATTTATATAAAAGATGTCAGAAACGTCCAGGCATTTTTTGATGTTTACTAGTTTGAATAACCACATTTTCTTATTTCTACTGGTATATACGATATGAATAAAAGAATCATTTGGTGGTGTCACAGACTAGTTTTTCAAATCACCACATACCAGACCAACACAGAAGAAGTACTCTCTCAATGCAGATTTACCTGTAAGTTACAAATGTTATATGTTTTTATGATTGTTTGGAACATTGTATTAGTCAAGAAGCTGATTTTCATAAGTGGTCTGGAAACTTATAATAGGTCGAAATGAGACGTTACCAAGCTTTAATTAGGTTTTTTAGATGATTGAAAGATATCGAAGAAGTCACTGGCGGTAATAATAAGTCGCGAACAGGCCATATATGTGATTCCATTAGAAGAACGTATTGGATTGTGGGAAAAGCAATGTTTATCAACACAAATATCGCACATGCACAGCGCCCATGTAAGGAAATCAAGCACCTCAAAGCGCTAAGTCGAAAAATAAATTCACTAGGAGTACATAGCCAGAAATATCCCTAGTTGTTTTTGATACAATCATTACTGTGTTAAGTATTGTTTACTATTATGTTCCGTATGTGTGTACGTGGTGATCTATTCTCGCATCGATGTTGAATTCTTCAATTGGTGATGTGTTCTGATTCCCATCTACAACCCACCCCCAAGGCAGCTTCTTGTGATTCGGTAATACTATGTTATAATAATATAATAATATTTATTAGACGCTAAAATCCTTAGGAAAGGATAAAAAGGGTCTTCCAAAAAGAAATTTAAAAACAACTTAAAAAATTAAAAAAAAAAGCCTATTATAAAAATATAAAACAAATCAAAAACAAATATGAATAAACAATAAAGACACTTTGCAACCAATGGTGAATACAGAATATATATTACCGAATCACAAGAAGCTGCCTTTTGCGTCTTGCTTATCCACTCAGAATGGGAGTTGGTTGTAGATTGGAATTAGAACGAATCGCGACGTGAAGTATTCAACAGCGATGCAGGGGGGGGGGGGTTAGATCGCCACGTACACACACTCGGAACATAACAATAAACAATACTAAACACTGTAATAATGATTGCATTAAAACAATTCAGTAGGGGTATTTCTAGTTTGTACTCTCTGTGGCGACTTTTTAAATTT